TGGATATATATCATCCGTCGCAATGTCCTCCAATTGAAAACAGTTGTCCATATTTAGACGTTTGACGTTTGTATTCAGCAGAGACACAATAACTGCCTTTTGCAGTGTCCTCGTGCATATATGACAAATTCAAATACAAGATAGTTTACAAATGAACGGCAACTCTGTATTGCAGGGAATGTCATTCCACTTGTAAGTTTTCAGAAATAACATCCCCATGCAATGCTCGTTTCCCCCTTGGTTATTGAGTTCCCTTGGGTGCAAGTTGGTGTAACCCACTACCTTCCTCAGGGGGTGCTCCCAGGTCCAGATGCCCTCTGCTCTCAGATCAGTGGCGCTGATGTAGAAGTTAGAGCCTATTTACGAGATAACAAATAGAGATTACTACACGAGTGTCTGCCAGATACCATTGATCTTATAACGAGCTGTTTCAAAACGTATCTAACCAGCAAGAGCCCTAAAATCGCACCATTTTAGCATCGAGTCGACGTCATCAATTTGTCCATTCTCATGATCGCAGTGGTGCATTAATACAGAGCACAACGGTCATTCTTGACGTCACCCGACGTACTGCTTACTACTCATAAATAATGTGACCCTATACAAAAATATTTCAGCCATATCTGTGGATTATCAAGGCGATAATGACAATGCAAACTAGTTTTGATAAATGAACCCGCTTGATGCCGAGTTAATCATTTTCACCTCAGAGAAATAACCAAATATGTACAAAGTATACTTCCTTATGACATCACTACCGGTGACTACCGACTTTTACAAAATGGCGTGTTCACTGACAACAATACGCGGGATTTTACGAGGGGACTTTCGTTGATTCAGGGATCACATATACATAAATGTGACATGTAAGTAATCAGAAACATTCTGACAGTCTGTGTACTGTTTTTTGTTTTTAGGTTTTTCATTGAAACCAAAACAATTAGTCAGGGAATGCAGATAACTACCGTCGTCGTTGCGCGTGATTTTGCGTCAGTTATGGCGTCACACAGGACGGAAATATTCACGATTTCTGTTGAATTTACCGGATCATTGTAATGTATATATTTTCAATTCCATAATTCGTGCTACGATACTGTTCCCATGACTATTCTCCAAGACGTGAGCATGCAACAATTGGCCTAAAGGATGTCTCAAAAAAGAATACTACCCCCTCTACACGCAGCCCAGACATGGAATAGGACTCCTCCAGAAAGCGCTGCCTAGTCAAACCCACCCAGAACTTTTCGGAGAATACGAAAACTCCCCAAGACTGCAGCCTTCTGCATTACCCAGATTGTCAGAAGGGCTGTATTCCTGGTAGCAAACCCGGCTACCCGGCTACCCAATGTAAGTCAACAGATTGGAGGTACGACACCTTCGGCACCGAGAACAATGGGAAGTCGGACAACTTGGTATTTGGGATGCAAACATGACATTTCGAAAGCGAGGACCGCATATTTTCCATGTTTTTTTCTGAATCTTGTCAATCACATTAATATCAAAAGGGACAGAAAATTCAATGATATGAATGATTTCATTGGCTATGTCTAAAGCTGTATACCAAAGACATTCCAAAGAATTTTGTATTTATCATTTTCCATGACGCACTCTACATATTCCGCGTCGTACCATGGATGGGCCTCTGTGTCAAAACCACAAGCATGGTTAAGAGAGTAACATAATGATCCAGCCACTCCACTATGTTGCTTAAGAGAATGTGTTTGTGTCAAAGCTGGGCATCCACTGACAATATGTTGTATAGTCTCATTAAATTGCATATTCTTCATTTCATATTTACATTTTGATGCAAAATCACACATTGACGGTTTCGAATGGGAAATGACTGGTCTTGAGCGACAAACAGAAAGCCTTAAATTTAGTTTATTATTATTACTATTGTTTTTATTATTTTATTAGAGAGACGATTCTTTGAGGGAAATGTGTTTAAAAATCATCGTTGGTTTCAAAAACAATCCAGTCTGTTCTTGTGACATTGACACTACAAATCTGTATGTCAAGTCATATTTACAGTTACCTTTGCCATGCATGAGAAGGTGACTCCTGATCAAGTCATCTTCATTCTTGCTGGTGATGTCGGCCAAGTGACTCCCGAAGAACAGGCAGAAGGACTGTGGAGAGTCGTTATACTGATGTAACTCAACTGAGGTAGTGAATTCGGTGTGACTTACAAAATTGAAAGACTTCTACTTTAAATACAAAGGTGAAAATAGGTTGTGTACAATAGTTTAGAGAAATATTAATATCGAAATCAGAAAAGTTGCCAAGTTCATAGACACAAGTAACCGCATGCAATCTTAAGTGAAGATACCAAACAGATAATAACGATGGCAGAAACTCGTCAAACAACTTGCCATCATTTTTAAATAAAATGCAGTGGGTTCCTTCAATACATGTACAGTACTTTAACATTAGGAAGTTAATTTCTGGATGTCAACTTCTTAATTTTGAGGGGCGGTCGGGTAGCCTAGTGGTTCAAGGGTTCGCTCGTCACGCTGAATTAACTGACTATGAAAGTCCTGTTTCCACCTTTGCCGAAACAGGCTGGAATTCTGGAGTAACATTTTGGCTGGACCAACGGGTTTATGTATGGTCCAATCAAAATCGCGTAACAAAATCGACATCCGGTTTGTAAACTGCTGTGCAGATTTCGGTCAACCTCAGGATTCTCAAACCATGTTTATATTGTCCAAATCTTTTCATGTCTTTAATCAAGGTGCTCACGTGATTTGATGCACTTCATGAAGTAAGAAAGACCCGTTTTATTATAACGCTGATCTTGATTATCGATCAGATCGTCTTCGCCAAATGCGGGTTATATGACAGGTGGAATCTGATTGGTCAATAGGAGGGGCAGAGAAAGACTTAACTTGTAAAAGCCACTGGTGGCGATACGATCGAGCACACAAATTCCACCCTTGCCTCAGGAAGATGATGTAATATAAATGTGTAGTGGAAAAGGGCTGTGTGATGGTCACAGTGCAGTCTGTGTGATAAGACGTAGAGTGAGTGAGATTATTCTATTTCTGAGAGATGGACAGCTTCTCGAACGTATATAAATAGAGCAGCCACACATAAAAATGAAATTATATCAATAAACCAAAATAGATATCATATCAATACAAAAAACAGAAATTCTGTGAATACCAAACTCACAATAGATAGGATTTCATGTATGGCTTCTCCCTTCACCAAACTCGTCTTCAATTCGGCGTCCCAGCAACAGATGCTTGTCGTAAGAAACGACTGAATTCGAATGGATCTGGGGGCCAGGATCGGTGGATTGGATGACACTGAATCTCAATTGTGTGGATCGATCCTCACCTCTCAATCACTTCATGGTCTGGTTCAGACTGTCATCCAATTCACTGAGCCTGACTACACGATCCATCTTCCGACAAGCATTCCTAAGGGTCCTGTTTGCACGTATGTGCCCCTCTAGAATGCACATTGTTATTGTTGAGTTCACAAGATGAACACACGACAGCAGAAGTATAAATTCAAGTGTCACAACATAAGACTCCAACATAACATTATTTTTGCAGTCAAAGCAAACAAGCGTGATCAAAATCTGCTTAATAACTTTGTTTCCTAAAAATGACGACATGTTGAGACCCCCCACTAATCATTATGTAAAGATATAAGAGACCTACTTTCTGGTACATAATTCCTAGGGCATGGCTGTGGACGTGTGTTGAAGCGAGCTGCTGTGAAAGCAACACCAAACATTCCGGAGACAAATTATACAAGGTGAGGTGAAGTGAGGTGAGGTGAAGTGGTTAACGCAGCGGCGAATCTGCAAACAATTGCCAGCTTGAATCTTGCTCAGAAGGGACTCCGGCATTAATCCTACACTTTAACATAGATTATAATTTGTTGGTCACAATCTCCATCAATCAATCTCTCTGTGAAATGTGCATGCGAAGCACACATTTCCACATCATGCATTATACTGTAGTCATAGATGACAGACAGGCTAGCCTACACAATATATAAAATACTTAGTTATAAATTTAAGAAAGCGCCAGGATTGTCCTTCTGATTAGATTAGTGTTTATTTATCAGCACTTCCTGGTTGTTATGTAGATGGTTGCCAAGGGCCGCATGTCAAACGTCGCGTCTAAGATTATTGCACTTATATAGCGACGTGCATGTGTGTGTTTGTGTGGCTGCTTGTTCTGGTCAGGACTGATGCCGATTTATAATGCTCGCTGACTGAGATAACATTCCCCAGGTTAACGTGAATACCCCACTCAGACACAGAATACTGACTCCGAGCCGACCAGTCCTTGTTTTGACCCCTTTATGCCGAGCGCCAGACAGGGTAACGACAAGTACCATCTTTTAACGTCTTTTGGTATGACGCAGCCGGGGATCGAACCCCGGACCTTCCGCACTCAGGGCGGACGCTCTTCCACTAGACCACGGAGGCGGTCTGTCATATAAAAATGTTCTAACAGGTATGGTTGGTCATTTGTTGACTAGCTAGCTGATTACCAAACCTTGGGTCGTTGCTAAACAGTAACGTGTTCCTCTGACCTTACACAATTAATGGATCACCGACCGAACATTTTCCTTTGCTTAACTCACCAACCCCCACCCCAAACCCGAACCCCACTCCCACCTCCTTCCCCTACTCATGTTTCCCAGAATCCTGTTTCTTACTAAAGGCGGGTATCATGATAACACCAACAGGCCGGTCAGGTTGAAATATATACAGTATTTGTCAATGGATCAGGATATCATCAATACAGATCAGTTCAAAGATGAGACACCACTATTCAGGCCTTCTTGTAGGGTCGATGTCAGAAATTAGAATTGACATGTATTGTTCAATCTTCCATAACTCAATGTCTATTCAATGTTTTGTGCTTCCGAGGTCTACAGGTCAGTAGTCACTGACATGACGTTTATCTCGCGGTGTATTTGAAGAGTAGTGTTGTGGCAACTCGGACTAGGTGCAACAGGCCAATCACTGCACATAAGTGATAGATATACACTCATAGTACTGTCACTTATCATACACAAACTTCGAGCCATATCCTGCATTCACTTGGCAACACATAAGGCATATGGGTGGATGTGTTTGAGGTATGTATCTTTCCAAGTATCATATTATGAATTTGCATGTGCACAATTATAAAATTATGAAAAAGTGAAAATCATCACTTTAAATGTTAATTCAGTGAACAATGGATTGAGGCATTGTGTTTTTATGATTGAGTTTAGACTTTGACATTATATGTTGTGAATCATATTATTGTATTTCCTTAATGAAATTATTAAAAAGTAAAAACATAAGTCAGCGTGGGGGTCTGGGTGTGTGTGTGTGTGTGTGTGTGGGGGGGGGGGGGGGGGGGGGGCTTATATTTACGGACCCCACACGAAAAAAAATGTAAATCCAATTGAGATGGAGTATGTATTATTATATGGGGGATGAAGGTTATTAGGAGCTTTAGCTTGAAATTCGGAAGTCATTTGTGATGTGTGTGTCGCTGCTTGTAATAGTCCGGACTTATGTCGGTTCTTATTGCTCACCAACTGTGATACCGTGTCGTAGTTTAACATGAATACCCAACTCAGACCATGCGATGACTCCGAGCCTACGGCCAGGCAGGGTAACAGCAGGGACCATCTTGCCATCTAGGGTGTGGATGGTGATTCAGATAGTTATACAAAATGCAGGGTGTGGATGGTGATTCAGCTGGCGGTACTGACTGTAGGGTGTGGATGGTGATTCAGCTGGCGGTACTGACTGTAGGGTGTGGATGGTGATTCAGATGTCTGTACTGACTGTAGGGTGTGGATGGTGATTCAGATAGTTATACAAAATGTAGGGTGTGGATGGTGATTCAGCTGGCGGTACTGACTGTAGGGTGTGGATGGTGATTCAGCTGGCTGTACTGACTGTAGGGTGTGGATAGTGATTCAGCTGGCTGTACTGACTGTAGGGTGTGGATGGCGATTCAGCTGGCTGTACTGACTGTAGGGTGTGGATGGTGATTCAGCTGGCTGTACTGACTGTAGGGTGTGGATGGTGATTCAGATGTCTGTACTGACTGTAGGGTGTGGATGGTGTCTAAGATGGCTGTACTGACTGTAGGGTGTGGATGGTGATTCAGATGTCTGTACTGACTGTAGGGTGTGGATGGTGATTCAGATGTCTGTACTGACTGTAGGGTGTGGATGGTGTCTAAGATGTCTGTACTGACTGTAGGGTGTGGATGGTGATTCAGATGGCTGTTCTGACTGTAGGGTGTGGAATGTGATTCAATTGGCTGCTCTGACTGTAGGGTGTGGATGGTGTCTAAGATGTCTGTACTGACTGTAGGGTATGGATGGTTTCTCAGCTGGCTGTACCGACTGTAGGGTGTGGATGGTGATTCAGTTGGCTATACCGACTGTAGGGTGTGGATGGTGTCTAAGATGGCTGTACTGACTGTAGGGTGTGGATGGTGATTCAGATGTCTGTACTGACTGTAGGGTGTGGATGGTGATTCAGATGTCTGTACTGACTGTAGGGTGTGGATGGTGATTCAGATGGCTGTTCTGACTGTAGGGTGTGGAATGTGATTCAGTTGGCTGTACCGACTGTAGGGTGTGGATGGTGTCTAAGATGGCTGTAGTGACTGTAGGGTGTGGATGGTGATTCAGTTGGCTATACCGACTGTAGGGTGTGGATGGTGTCTAAGATGGCTGTACTGACTGTAGGGTGTGGATGGTGATTCAGATGTCTGTACTGACTGTAGGGTGTGGATGGTGATTCAGGTGTCTGTACTGACTGTAGGGTGTGGATGGTGATTCAGATGTCTGTACTGACTGCAGGGTGTGGATGGTGTCTAGGATGGCTGTACTGACTGTAGGGTGTGGATGGGCGTTGTTTGGCAACCGCTCGGTTGCACACAGCCTATAGCCCGATGGTGTGAATCAACTTTCACACATTTCACGAATTATCTCTCGACTATGTTCGACTACAGCCATAAATTCTTTGTTTCAGGTTTCATTATGGGATGCATGAAATCGAGACAAGTCGGCGTGCATGAACCACCCCCCGCCCGAGCAGATCCAACCCCCGCCCAAGCAGGTCCAACCTCCACCCGAGCAGATCAAAACACCGCCAAAGCAGATCCAACCCCCGCCCGAGCAGATCAAATCCCCGCCCAAGCAGATCCAACCCCCGCCCGAGCAGATCAAAATCCCGCCCAAGCAGATCCTACCCCCGCCCGAGCAGATCAAAACCCCGCCCAAGCAGATCCAACCCCCGCCCGAGCAGATCCAACCCCCGCCCGAGCAGATCAAAACCCCGCCCGAGCAGATCAAAACCCCGCGCAAGCATATCCAACCCCCGCCCGAGCAGATCAAAACCCCGCCCAAGCAGATCCAACCTCCGCCCGTGCAGATCCAACCCCCGCCCAAGCAGATCCAACCCCCGCCCAAGCAGATCCAACCCCCGCCCAATCAGATCCAACCCCCGACAGAGCAAAACCAACCCCCGCCCAAGGAGATCCAAACCCCGCCAAAGCAGATCCAAACCACGCCCAAACAGATCCAACCCCCGCCCGAGCAGATCCAACCCCCGCCCAAGCAGATCATTACCCCGCCCAAGCAGATGCAACCCCCACCCGAGCAGATCCAAACCCCGTCGAAGCAGATCCAACCCCCGCCCGAGCAAAACCAACCCCCGCCCAAGCAGATTCAAACCCCCCCCAAAGCAGATCCAACCCCCGCCCAAGCAGATCCAACCCCAGCCCGAGCAAAACCAACCCCCGCGCAAGCAGATCCAACCCCCGCCAGAGCAGAAGCAACCCCCGCCAGGGCAGATCCAACACGCAACGACCCCAACCCTCCACTGAAGCCCACTAAAAAGAAGAAGAGTGATGCGGTGCCTTCTCCGCAAGCGTTTGCTGCTATTGATGCGCATGCGTTGAAGGTGAGAACAAGCGGAGGATGCGTTTAAGTGACTGTATTCTTGAAAGATGCCGGTCAGCGTACCGTTTCTCTGTGGAATGAGAATCAAATATATACCCTTAGAAATGTAGGGGGCATGAAATATAAATGTTTATACCATATTTTAGAACAAAAATTAATGTTGACGACAAACATCCTTTGCAAGAATGTTTATATCTGCAATACGTAACACCAAAACACATCCCATAGTTTGCACGTACCTCACGCAGTAGCGCCACACACATGCGTTAGGTGTCATTCCTGATTTTGACCATTATTTATGTCAATCGTATTGATTATGCTTATCTGCTTATTCTGCTTACTTGACTCAATTCATTGTTTGTGTAAGGGGGCACGGGTGGCCCAGTCGTCTAAGGCGCCGCGATTCGCAGCGCAAAGTTGTGTCCCTTTTTGGTACGCCAGAAACCTATGATTGTGGGTTCGAATTCCGGTTCGCTCCGATTATGTTTCTAGGGTTGTCGACCATACCTGTGCTCGTGGGTTTTACTTCTAGCTTTCCTCACACATTAAGTTGACACGCCGTGATATGACTGGAATGCTGTTAAAAGCGGCGTTAAACCCAACTCGCTCACTCATTGTTTGTGTATGACCAAGCGATACGGCGGCTGCAACGTGCAGCGCATCTATGGTTTGTTGGCATGCTGGAAACTGTCAGAAGTCAGCGTGCAGTGACCAATATGTTAAATGTTTCACAGTCTGTAATTAGCAGACTATGGAACAGGTACCAACACACTCAAATGTTGACGATCGACCCCGTTCAGGGCGTCCGAGGTCAAAAACAGTACAGGTTCGAGTGATCCGGAACCAGGCTCTATAAAATCCAGCTCAAACGACGAATCAAATTGCTACAAACTTTCATCGGGCTACTGGAGTACGAGTTATGGATCAGACGATTAGAAATCGTTTCGTGCAGCTTATCTCCATGTTTAGTGACCACGTATTGCGCGCCTCACATATCGCCATATTCCCCCAAAAACGTCAATGGTGTACACGAAATCGAAACGGAGTACTTTTCCCTGGTCACGTTTTCAAATGAGTCCCGATTCACTTTGCACTTCCTTGATAGGCGTGTTCGTGGCTGGCAACGTCGAAATTAACGTCAAGCCAATGTCAACGATGACAGAGTTGGCGGTGAAACGTTTGTGGTGTTGGGTGGCATTACTATGGCAGACCTACCCCTCTCCATATTGTGCCGCGATTCGCTGTGCACAGTTGCGTCCTTTGAGCAGAAACCTAGGGTTGTGGGTTCGAATCCCGGTTCGCCCCGATAATGTTTCTAGGTTTGTCATCACCATACCGTGCTCGTGTGTTTCACCTAAGTGGTAAACGTCTGAGACCTGCATCACTTCGGGCTTTCCTCCCACATTAAGCTGACACGCCGTGATATAACTGGAATACTGTTAAAAGCGGCGTTAAATCCAACTCACTCACTCACTCGCCTATCAGTTCTGTCTAGAAACTTATATACATTCTGGCAGCAGCGACAATTATGTATGACGTACTTTCAGAGGACAAACAGGTTACAGGGTCGGCCTGCAGGGTTTAACACGACTTTTAACAATATTTCAACTCTATCATTATTGGCGGAGTGAGCTTAAAGTGACAGATAACGGATCATGATTATTACGATCCTTGGATTCGAACACAGAACCAGCAGATACTGGCAAGTAAGTTTGTCCTGTCGATATCCGGAACCTTTAACCACTGAGTCACAACAATTGGTACCCTTGGGCTGTGATATCCAGTTTAAACAACGGACACGTCCCTGGCCGTAGAATCAAGTTCCTGATAATTGAATAATTTTGATGACAGTTAAGCCGTTAGAACGGACCGTTTGTCCATGAAGCCCGCTTTCAGGGAATTACTGAAATGAACGTCTTCATGCATGTATAAATCTGGAAAACGGGTTTATCTGATGACGGTAACGGTACTGTGCGGGGTAACTGTCTGTTCTTGTTTTTGCACTTTGTCTAGGCTCCGGCCAGTGCTCGCTCATCTGTGACCTCCCTAGCACAGTACCTGGTAAAGCCAGCCCGGAATGACATGGAGAAAATCCGGGCCTTCTACAGATGGCTTGGTGACAATATCAGGTGTGTTCCGTACAGGTTTGTTGTGTGTAGTGGTTGTTTGTTTGTTTGTTTGTTGTAAAACTCCGAACTCAGCAATATTACAGCTTTATGGCGGTTGTCTGTAACTAACCGAGTCTAGACCAGATATATCAGTAATTGACATCACAAGCATTGATCTATGCAATTGGTACACGATGTCATGCATCAACCAAGTCAGCGAACCCCATCCCATTCTGTCAGTGGCCTCTTACGACAAGCATCTTCATGGGGGCGACCCATTATGTCGTATGGTACAACAAGCACAGGATCTATTCTAACCAGGAATCCAAAAGGTGCTGTATGTTATTCAAATGCATCTTATTACTTTCATTACAATTCGTTGAGATCCGGGATAGATTAAGTCTTCAGCAACCCATGCTTGCCGTAGAAGGTCCCTGTGTTTGTCGTAAGAGGCGACTAACGGGATCGGGTGGTCAGGCTCGCTGCTCGCTGACTTGCCTGATGCATGTCATTGTATCCCAACATCCCAACTGCGTGGCCATGGATCGATGCGCATGATGTCAGTCATTGGATTGTCTGGTCCGGACTCGATTATTTACTGACCGCCGTCATAAAGCTGGAATATTGCTGAGTGCATCTTTAAACAACAAACAAGCAAACTTCCATAACAATTTCTAATTGTTTTCTATGTGTCTTAGGAATGTGGGCAAAATGGCATGTGCACTTCGTCCTTTCTTATCTCATTTGCTTATTTATTTTACAGTTACGACGTATCCGGGTTCTTTAGTGACAACATTGGCTCTCAGGACCCCGATGCAGTGCTGAAGCATGGATCTAGTGTCTGCGAAGGATATGCCAGACTCTTTAAATCTCTCTGCGAGTAGGTCATCCTCAGGACATAAACACACTGCGTTTTCAATTATAATATAAGTTAACTGTAGCGACCCTTAACTAGATGTGAAATTTCAAATGTTCTCCATTCCAGTATGACAAAGTAACATATTTGGAGTAAAGCAACACTTGTTGACACCGACCCGTGAAGATCCGGGTAGAGAATAGGTATTCAGCAACCCATGCTTGCTGTAAAAGGCGACTATACTTGTCGTAAGAGGCGACAAACGGGATCGTGTGGTTAGGCTCGCTGACTTGCTTGATGCATGTCATCGATCTCAATTGCATGGATCGATGCTCATGATATCAATCACTGGATTGTCTGGTCCAGACTATTATTTACAGACCGCCTTGATATAGCTTGAATATAGCTGAGTGGGGTGTTAAACAAACAAACAAAGCATACACATGCAATGAATTTCTATGTCTCATTAACACATGAATAATGGTTTTATGTTTACCTTTATCGTGACAGCGAATGCAAGATACCTTGCAAACGGGTCTCTGGTTTCGCCAAAGGGTTCGGCTACAATCCAGAAAATCCCTTCACACTAAATACGGAAACGGACCATGCGTGGAACGTTGTGTATGTTCAGGGAGAGTGGCGCCATATTGAGTGTACGTGGGGAGCAGGACACGTGAACAACGACCATAAGTACGAGAAAGAGTTCGAAGAATTATATTTCCTCACTGATCCTGAGGATTTTGTCATCAAACATTTTCCATATGCTGACAAGAATTTAGAAGCAAGTATCCCTCTGCAGCTGTTGAAAAAACCGTTGTCTCTCGAGGAGTTCAGCAATGCTCAAACTCCAATGACCAATGGTATCGCATGGGGGTTTGAATGTACGAGCCACAAGACTCAAGTGATCACAGTGGAAAATGAGTGTGAAATCAGCTTCAAGACTCGAAATGTAAAACTCAGTGGAATATTGTGTGACTTGAAGGAGAAGAACACACAGCGGGAATACAGCCAGTATGTCCTCTTAAGGAAACAAGGAGACAAGTATACAGTTAGAGTTTCTCCACCTGCCGAAGGCAAATACAACCTGGAGATCTATGGCAAGTCAGAATCATCATCAGGTACCACACACCACTCACTCATCACCTTTGTTTTGCGATGTCAGTCTGTTGTCAAAGGTCTGCGTCCATACCCTAAGAAGCAGGGATCCTGGGGTGCAAGTCAAGACGCCATTCAATATGGCTTTACCAGCGACATATTGGGAAAGGATGTTCTGACTACATCGACTGGCGAAGTAGAACTCAGGATCAAGACGTCGAAGCTTGTCCCCATCTCACTGCGTCTTGAACAAGCAGACTCTACTCAGACTGACCTGGATCGATATGTATTTGACTTTTATGAGGGCAATACACTTGTTCTTAAAGCAAGAGTACCCGACGTTGGCTTTTATAAGTTAACACTATTTGGAAAACATCCCGAGAACTCAGAGTCATGTTCGTTTGACCATGTTGCTGACTTTTTGATTGAAAGCAAAAAAGCTGTAAGCAATGTTCTCCCTTTCCCCGATGCTTACACTGCTGCTCAGAAATATGGCTGCCATCTGCATGAGCCTCTCTCTGGTGATCTTCCAGCCAATCAGGATGTCCGACTTAAACTAAGCTCAGATAGTTTAACTGAGTTAATGGTCAACAAACAAGTGAAGGAGAAGGAAGGTAAAGAGTTCAACTTTACCTTTAAGACGCCGTCAAAGGGAGAAGAGTTAAGTGTGTATGGTACCTCTGGCGATAGTTCTAGCTTTCATGGCCTGTACACGTACAGAATCGTGTGACTTAAAGGTGCATTTCAACAAAGACATCGAACTAGCTTAACGCTAACAGCCTTGACCGCTTGATAAGGTTAAGAAACAGATTAGGTCTGTGATCACTTTCTTCAGTAGAAAAGAAAACACCGGATTTGTGTTTGTTTTTATATTTACTTCCGGTAGTTATTAAAATATATCAACAGAGAATATACTTATTGACTATTACAGACAGTCCGTCCAGATGTTTGATGCGCATTCATGTATTTACTACAAACTGACATATGTTCCGTTGGTGTGGAGGTCCACCTGGCAGAGGAGTCCGCCATACGACTCAACCATAATCATGTGAGGGGCGGCGGGGTAGCCTAGTGGTTAAAGCGCTGGCTCGTCACGCCTAAGACCCGGGTTCGATTCCCCACACGGCAACAATGTGTGAAGCCCATTTTCCGGTGTCCCCCGCCGTGATATTGGTGGAATATTGCTAAAAGCTTAGTAACACAATACAAACTCGCTCACCCACCCACTATAATATGTATATTAACCCAGTATCGTATGTTCGACTCATCAGCCTTAATTGCAGCGTATGGTGTTGAAATGAAATCTTATTCCCGTTTATGTGAACACATCTTAACACGATTTCTTTAAGTTATGTTTGTTTCTGAAATAAGGCAGGTCGCGAGGACCACAATAATCCCCTTCATGCCATGTCCCTTTTTAATGAGGAGGAATATTTAGCATGATCATGAAACGATTGCTATATGTCATCACTATGGGTAAGTCGAATTTGTCAGTGTCATGCACGACGTTACAATAAACAATAATTGATAAAATGATTTCAGAGTTGTGTCAATCCTTGTATCCAATTAACTAACTTGGGATATTGCTTAAATAGCAGTAAATCTGTATATAGTTTATATATAAATTGCAGGCCATTATTTGATATACGCAAGAGAGGGTTCCCTCAAAGGAAGCCGGGTGAGGGGGGGGGGGGGGGGGGGGGGGGACGTGCTCGCACGGGGTGCAGGAGAGGGGTACTCCACGGGGTTGCAAAAGAGGGGTCCATCAAAGGGTGGGTGCAAGAGAGGGATCGTCCACAGGGTGCAAGAGAGCAATCTTCAGCAACCGATGCTTGCCGTATGAGGCAACTATACTCGACGTAAGAGGCGACTAACGGGATCGGGTGGTCAGGCTCGCTGACTTGGTTGATGCATGTCATCAATCCCAATTGCGTGGACTGATGCTCATGATATTAATCACTGGATTGGCTGGTCCAGTCTCGATTATTTACAGATCACCGTCATGTAGCTGGAATAATGCTGAGTGCGGCGTAAAATAACAAACCAAACCAAACCAAATCCATGATTAACCCCACAGCTTCCAACACGGATGCAGCAGGACAAGGGTTAAGAGAACAGCAGGTACTGCAGCTGAGACGGATCACTCATCCCACTTCCATCAATGTCATCCCACATCTCAACATTTACGTCGGTCTGGGACTCCCAGTAGTGGGAAAGTAAGCGAATGTGTTAACAAGGGTCACGCGGGTACACGGGAGTCGGGATGGTGCTGCACGTCATAACGTCCAGTCTCCATCTTCACTCGCAGAAGGGAAGTTGAACAACCTTACGTCCTCGGACACGTGACGGTTCCCAGTCATTATTTGATCTCGGTCCAGTTCCCGTTTCTGACCATAACAACAAATAAATAGCAAAGTTTGAGATATGACTGATTTGTTTTTTCTTTACCCGAATAATTTAAGAAAAAGAAACTTCCACATCAGCATGTGTAAATAACCACCACGCATGATCAAAAGAAAAAAAAATTGACAGCGTTGAATGTATTTTATTGATATGGTAAATACAATCGAAACTATCGATATTCCTAACTGAAATCGATACTATTGATCGGAAACTGATTAAACAATCGATTTATTGATTTTAAGTGCTCACCAATAGCAATATATCGATAGTTCGATTTGTCGTGACACCCCTAGTATACACTGGTATTATGCTTGTCTATTTAACATATGGAGGTAAAGGGCGGTCGGGTAGCCTAATGGTTAAAGCGTTCGCTCGTCACGCCGAAGACCCGGGTTCGATTCCCGACATGGGTACAATGTGTGAAGCCCATTTCTGGTGTCCCCCGCCGTGATATTGCTGGAATATTGCTAAAAGCGGCGTAAAACCATACTCACTCACTCACTATGGAGGTAAAGCAAGAAGTACATACTCCAGCATCAGTCTGCCGCTGACTTCGTGAAGGACACTCTGGATTATTGGTTGTCTCTGTGACATCCTGGTCAGTTCCTTCAGAATAGTTCTGAGGATCATCACCATACTGCACAGCCCCATCTGAAGCAACCATAACTGCATCATCCGTACCCTGATGCTTGCTAGATATTCATCACACATGCGACCAACTTCATTTCTTCGAAATAAACTGTTTAAAGGAAAACAATGGAGCTCTCGTTTATGTCTATCGTATATGTAGACATGTAAACACAGAGAAACGACCTTGCCAGTCTACCACCACATGAATGATTCCAGGGTGTGAGTCTCATCCTCCATTCTTCAAGCGGCATTATGAAGGAACACACTACCTTCCCTCTGAGAATATATGATAGTAGTTGCAATTTACGTACGTGAATAAGGATGCTTTTGCGCCGCTAATAGAAATGTTCAAGCAATACCACGGCGGGGAACACCACAGACTGACTTCACACAGTGTTCTCATGTTATGAATTGAACCCGGCGTGAAAAGACAGCGCTTTGAACAAGTGGCTACCCCACCGCCCAGTTGCAATTTAAAATATGCTGAACCAAATTAAAAACTTCACAATCCTAAAATTTTAACATTTTGACCAGTAATGGCCAGGTCTTCAGATTACACCCGTTTTTGTGCAGGTGAATCGATCAAAATCATGTGCACAGCACTATAGTGGCAAACGTGTTTTTTCACGTGGTACTGGTCACGTGGCCATAAAGCCGCATGTGTTTTCAGCCATACTTGTTAGCAGTCATTAACAAAAAAGAAAAATACAAGAAAACAAAAGTCTTTACAGCCATTTGTCATGCCACGCCTTTCAAATGTGCAACGTGAACGTGCACTCGGCATGTTGCAGACGGGAACGTCCGTAGCTGAAGTCGCAAGGACGATGTGTTGTAGTCGACGGACTGTTTATGATTTACAGACGCGTCTACAGCAAACGCGTACCACCGCTGATCGCCCTCGGCCAGGTCGATCACGTGTGACGTCACATGCAGAGGATCGTCAGATTGTCTTACGTCACCCCCGTAACCGATTTTTGACGGCTACATCAACCAGAAATGAACTGTTAAGGGGTAGACTGAGTGCGCAAACTGTTCGAAACCGCCTGAGAACAGCTCACCTTTAAGCACGACGGCCATACTGCGGGCCGGTTCTGACTCAATTACACAGACGTCAACGTCAATTGTAGGCACAGCGACACTTACGATGGACTCAGAAGAATTGGAATCAAGTCGTCTTCAGAGATGAATCCCGATTTAATCTTCGATTTGCTGATGGTAGGGCGAGGGTGTGGAGGCGCAGTCATGAACGTTACGCCCAGTGTTGTGTACAGGAAGTTGACAGATTTCGAGGCGGAAGTGTCATGGTGTGGGGTGTTTTCTGTGGCAATGCACGTTCCAGGGTTCTTGTCATCCGTGGCAACCTCAACGCTGCTGCTTACCGCGACCAGGTACTTCTGCCTTTTATGGCAGCACATGGACCCGTTTTGATTTTCCAACACGACAATGCCAGACCCCACACAGCAATTTGGACAAGGAATTTCCTTCAGAATGCGGGAGTCAACGTCATGGACTGGCCGTCAAGTTCTCAATCCCATCGAACACGTCTGGGATGCTCTTGGCAGAAGTCTGCGCACTCGCCAGAACCAACCACAGAATTTGCAAGATCTTGGCACCATTTTGCAGCAACAATGGCGTCATCTTCCTAATCATGTGTTCACAAGCATCACAAGGTCCATGCGGAGGCGTTGTGTGGCAGTTGTCAACGCACATGGTGGCCATACACGCTACTGAACTTGTGTGCCATCAGATTCTCGTGCTTGGGACTTATGATTTAAACTGTTGATGTCATTACCGAATACCGTAGGTGCTTCGAACAAATTATGGTTACCACTGTTAATTAAAATCCTTCTTTGGACATTAATGATTAAAAATTATCCTCTCTGATACATGTGTCCGTTGTATATCATATATGAGATTACTTTTAAAAATGTGATGTTTTTATTTTGACTCAGTTTAGTTTAACCTAAAATCTATCATGTTGTCTTACGTTGACGTTATCAAGACGTTCGTTAGGACGCCTACAAACACTGGACTCATATAGCCCTGTGCGGGGTCGATCATTAACATTTTAATACTGCAAAATCCTGTTCCAAAGAGGCAAAGAACATATTGGCAAGATCTGCCTACCAGGCGTGTCACATTGTAAACGACGCATTCCCATTCTGATCACAACTTCTGCAATGAAGCTTGAATAGAGAGAGTATGCGTTACTGTGGGTAAGGAAAAAACACAATACTCATGGCTCAGAGCGATTTGACGACCTTTCGCTGAAGGATCAAAATTTAAAACAAAGTACCACTACCCACGTGCACGGAGCAATGGCATCGTCCAGTCAACGTGCAATGTTTCGGGTGTGTTGCTTGCGGTTCCGAAATCGTCCAATGGCTTGGCCCGATTATTTTAACATCTAGTTAACTCCTAACCAACCATTAAATATTTAACCACACATCCGTTAACCAGCCGTTATATTATTCTTGCGGAATCGATAGATAACCTTTAGGTTACCTAACCACTCGGTTAAAGTTTAACATATTGATTTAAGCATCACTCAGGTAAATATTATTCCAGAATTCCTAGCGTTCGTACATCCGTCACTGTGTCGTATCGAATAATGCCGAAACAGTGTCAACTCAAGGGGAAATAACATAGAAAAGAAATAGGAAATGAAGAAAATATCATTCAGTCATTGGTCGAGAGAAATTCACACGTACTTCATGAAGAGCAGTGAAGTAACCAATAAGAAGGAGCCTGCTACATCGATGGCTATCACTGAGGCAGTACATGAAGGGCGTAGCGCTTCGATCTGTTGATGATGTGAGGGAGAGTGAGTGAGTGAATATGGTTTTACGCCGCTTTTAGCAATATTCCAGCAATATCACGGCGGGGGACACCAGAAATGGGCTTCACACATTGTACCCATGTCGGGAATCGAACCCGGGTCTTCGGCGTGACGAGCGAACGCTTTAACCACTAGGCTACCCGACCGCCCATAAGTGAGGGAGAAATGGTGCAACATGACAAGAAAGGCCAAGAAAACCTGAACGGACTACATGCTGCAACGTTTAGAGGGGGGTCCCAATCCTCCGAACCGAATCGGGCTACTTCTCGAATTATTGAGATAATGCAAGATTCAGGGTTGATTTGGTTGGTTTGTTGTTTTACGCCGCACTCAGCAATATTCCATCCATATGACGGCGGTCTGTAAATAATCGAGTCTGGACCAGACAATCCAGTGATTGATATCACGAGCATCGATCCACATAATTGGGATCGATGACATGCTTCAATCAAATCAGCGAGCCTGACCACCCGATCCCGTTAGTCGCCTAATTACTTTTTACGGAAAGCGTGGGTTGCTGAAGACCTATTCTACACCGGATCTTCACGGGTCGCAAGATTCAGGGAGTATCAGTAGCATATGAGGGGGATTCGAATCGGAAAGGTTGGTAAGGCAAAGAACTGTGAAGCGGTAG